ACTTACAATTATAATTGAATTGTTCGAAAGCTAGGTTGGCCTCTAACATCACTACACCATCGAATTTCCAACCAAACTTTACATGGAGAAATTCGACTGGAAGTCAAGTTCGAGAAATTTAATTTGGCAATAGATTTGGTTGATAAATTCGTATTTTCAATAACAATTCACAGGTTTCAACACAAAATTTTCTTACTTGTTGTCAATTCACTGATTGTTGAATCTAATGCAATTTGTTCAAATGGAATATTGAACATTTCAGTTGCTAGAATTGAGTAATATAAAGCAATATCAAATTCAACACTGCTATGATAGAGATTAATGTTTAAGATATTTATTGATTGATTTGAAAATTATCATTAATTTCATTATTTCACTAAAAACAAAAACCTATAGATTATTTATTTATTTGATATTTTTTGTTCTTTTGTTGATTTTATTGTAGCCAATTAAACAATTGTTGATGATTGATCCGATTTATTTGATTTTTTTGTGGTCGAATATACGTGATGAGGATGGATCACTGACCGAATGTTGATTGATTTCTTTTTTGTTTTTTTGTTTTTTTTGCTGCTTTGTCCTAGGATCATTCCTGTGACTATTGTATACGTTGCATACAAGGATAACAAAAATATTGGGATCAGTAATGCAAGGAATACATATTGAATCACTGTGAAGATGATCACTTTTTCCGTCGTTTATTATCAGTGCATTCGAAATTTTAGCCATTTTTCGCATTTGAGTAAACATTTGATTTTCATAAAGAATCGGATATTTCTCAATCAATGTTATAGGCTTTGTTGGTAGATATAATTCATCATGTGCGTGATCCAGAGAATTAATTGAAACATCATACACATTAAATTTCTTTGTTATCAATAATAATCGCTTCGATGTTGTTCCAATCGCTAGTATGTGGAATTGTGTCCTATTATTATTCTTGAGACTTTCACATATTTGCTTTGTTATCAAATGTTTTATAATTAGCATATCAAATGTATTGATAATATCTATTAAAGATAATACTTACATCTTTTTGAGTTGCTGTCATTCTCATTTCATTATCCGTTTGGATTTCCGTGAGCAACAAAATCAAATAAAAGACATAAATAATTGCCATATTTGATAAATGCATTTCGATCAGATTTCTTTAGTAAAACTAAAGCAATAATAATAAATAAAATTCGTTATTGAAGACTTCAATCGTATCGTCTATTATTAACTGTTTCATATGATTTGTTGCCAATTCGAACAGTTTAATTTGTTCATTAATTCGAATTTCAACAAAATGTACTTTTGCTTGTTAACTGCCATGAAACAAGGTCGAATAATCGAATCGAATGAATTCCATTGTTCTAACAAACGTGTTTTTGTGTAATACATTCTAATAAAATAATTCTTTTTGATTATTGTATTCTACCAATTACGCGATCAATATGCAAATTTTTAATGAAATAGGTTCATCATGGAGAAATTAATCATCAAAAATCCAAATAAAAATGATTATGAAATATGTTTAATTAAACTGGCTAGCTTGGATGTTGATCCACCACGACTGATGCTGTTTAATCGTGACTTTGAACGTTTCAATCGATTCAGACTAATTTTACTGCTCATTTTACTCATAGGAGAGGTTGGTCTTGAGGATCTACCTTTTAGTGATGTTCGACTACCTGGAGAGGCTGCCTTTTTTGATCTTCCTTTTAGTGATGTTCGACTGCCGGGAGAAGTTGCTTTNGTTACTTTTATGGACGATTTGGATAAACTGATTTTGCTTGATCTCTCCAAATCGGAACGTGTCTTTTTTCTGTTTGCCAATGATCGATGTGCAACATATACACTGCTTATTATTATCGCTAATAACACCATTCCCATTAATAATATGATTGCTGCAATTATCCAATAAAAATCTTCAAAACAAACGACAAATTAAACAACAAAAAATGACACAATAAATCCGATACTCACATGATTTGGAATCGGGTGGAACAATACCACCACATTTGAAAAAAACTTTATTATTAACTATCGTTAATGCAAATTTTTTTCCTTTTTGAAAGAAAAAATTCTCACTGAATATATAGTTAATAGTATACCCGATTATAAAAAATTTCCCATCACTGACGAAACCGCTTGAAAATGGCCATTCTATTGGAGCCTCATTGTCACACTTTTTTCCTTCTATCAACAAAACGTTGTTTTGTCCCATATTTTCGAAACACATTATTCTAAAATCTGTCACTTTCTCTATTCCATCCGAGTTGATTATGCGATCACCATTTTTGCATTTGTAAGCAGTAAGCCAAAGACCGGTAAGACTTAGATCATTTTCATTCGCTTCTCTTCTTTGTATAGAATAGGATTTACATGGTTCATTGGTTGCAATCAAGGTTTCTGGTCCTTCACTTAAAACAAATCCTTTATGTACTTTTGATTTATCGATATTATAGTTGATTCCCTGTTTACCGTTACTAGCAGTCATACAAATCCAATCACCATCACTATCATACATAATCCCTACATTCATATCATTTTTGATACTTTTAAAAATTGGATTATCATAAAGTACCGGATATTTATCCTTCATTGGTGTTGGCAAATATTTCAAATATGTTTTATTTCTGTTAGAATCAAATGAATCAACTGGAGCTTCATATACATGCAAATCTTTCGTTATCAGTAATACCCGTTTTTTTGTTCTTCCCATTGCCACTACATACGATTGTATGGATCCGCGTGAATCAAAATATCCATCGATAACCTTTTCACAGATTTCCTTGTTTTTGAATGTTTTTTGTTTTATGTTTCATAATTAGCAAATCAAATTCATTCATTTTTCTCATTAAAAAACAATTCCATACTTACATCTTTTGGTTTATATTCTGTAGATGTAGGGAATATATCCTCAGTCGTTTGATTAGTCGCCCGGAGTTCCGATGTGATCATCAAAATCACATAAATCACGAAATTGACATAAATCCATTTATGATTGGACATTATTATCAATTATGATTTGTTTAGAGAATAATGTCAACAATAAGTAAAGAATTAATTTTTAGAAAATTTCTCAATAATTATTGTTTTCTAGAATTATTCTGAAATCGAATTTTTTCTCTAATCAATCGAACAATTAGTTGAAACAGCATTATTCATAATAATATTAGTCAACAGAATCAATAATCATTAATTGTTTGCATTATTGTTTGATATAGTGGCTGTTGCAAAGAAAGATTGTTATTGAATTATATTTGGAAACACAATATGATTGTTTGTTAACATATTTTTTATTTAAATGAATGTAATTATTTATTGAGGATGTATTGGATTAGTTGTTATTGATAACGTTTTTATTATTAAAAGGAAGAGGATAGTAATTTGGTTGGTGGATGTAATTTATCATGGGCCTCATCCAAGGAATTGATTGATTTGCTATCACCAATATTGTCTTGGATGTTGTTCCAATTGCCATTATTTGGAATTGTGTGCCATTATTATGTTGTAGCCTTTCACAGATGTGCTTTGTTGTCAAATGTGAAATGTTTTATAATTAGCATATCAAATGTATCAACAATATCAATTAATAATACTTACATCTTTTTGAGTTGCCGTCGTTATCATTTCATTATTGGTTCGGATTTCCGATGTAGTCATCAAAATTAAATTGACGACATAAAGGAATCTCATATTTGATGGTAATGACATTTTCCGACTGCTCTCAAAAATAAAGGCGAATAAACACACCAAACATTTATTTCGATCGTTCATTATAAATATTTTCATTTGTTTTGTTGTCAATTAGTGAACAGTTCAATTGAATTGAATTGAATTAAAGGCAATTGTAGTTTATTCACAAATTACAATCCGCTAATGACTAACAATTTTTGTTTGTTTGCAATGCAATGAATAATCTTTCGTCAACTTACAATGCAAGCGAAATAGGCACATAAGTAATTTTCTCTACATTTATTAAATTATAAAATCAAAATTGGAAAAAATTATGAAATATGTTTTATTAAAGTGGTTAGATTTATTTTCGATTCACCATCACGACGACCGTTGCTCGGAATTCGTGTTGCTGAACGTTTCAATAGATTCGGATTAGTGGTGTTGGCGTAACCATTGTTATCATGATCAATGCCAGTATGTGCCGTTACGTGCGCTGATCCACCGGTTAATGATCGATGATTTCCACGACTGCTAACCATAACAGGTTGGATGATTTGCTGTGCCGTACTTTTACGACTTCTTGTAGTGGCAATATTTGTCGATATTTTTGTTAAATTAAATTTACTTCGTCCCTCTTCGAAACCGGAACGACCAGTTTTTCCATTTAAAAATGACAGCATTCTTCGATGACCACGAGCCACAAATATACACCACAATATTGCCAATAATATCACCAGTAACAATATTATTGCCCCCATTATCCAGTAAAAATCTTGAAAAAGCAAACAATAAAAATGAATTGATTTCATTGACAAAAAAATGTTCCGTTTATTACTTACATGATTTGCTTATAACATTACTGGGTGGAATAATACCCGCACAATTGAAGAAAGAATCGAAACTAATTTTTTGCACTGGATATTCTTCACCTTGATTATTGTAAACTGCTTCATCGAAAATGTAGATGTATGAATGACCAAATAAATAGAATTTGTTATCAGTCACAAATCCTTTCAATATTGGCCATTGGACCGGAATGCCCGAACGACATTTGATTCCGTGCCGCCCTATCCTCTCTACGGTGATCTTAGTTTTGGTTTGATCATGACATATGGCTGAATCATCAGATTTGGGACTAATATGTACTGTATGACGTAAACGTCTACTCTCAATACATTGCCAACGATTGATTAAAAGACTATTGTCTGACCTCAATGAATAATATTGACATGATTCGCTTGTTGAAATTAGTACAATATCATCATGTCCAGTATAGTGTCCTCCTTGCATTACTTGCGAATTATCGATATCGTAGTTGACACCATTTTGATGGGCGCTCATTGAGGTAACTAGACAAATCCAATCACTGTCCGGATCAGTCATGATGAATGCTGTGAAGATTTCATTCTTAATATCCTTAAACTTTTCATCATGATAAAGAGCTGGATATTTCTGCTTCATTGGTATTGGCTTAGTATGAAGATACAATTTATCAATAGCCGAGTGCAAAGAATCGATTGGAATATCATAAACATATAAATCGTTTGTTATCAATATTAGTCGTTTGGCTGTTTTGCCCACTGTCAATATATTCAATTTGTTTGCACTATTATCGCGTAAACTTTCACAGATTTCCTGTGTTTGATTAACAAATTCAACATTCAAACAATAATACAACCAAACAATACTAACAATACTTACATCTCTTTTTGTTGAATTGCTTGTCGTTTGGATGGTTTCAATCTGAATGATCAATATGATTGAAATGCCATATAGCAATGTCCAATTTGATGGCAACCACATTTCCCAATCAGAGAAGAATTAAAAAGACTTGCTTCTCTCACAAAACTCATTGCTGCCGGTTATTTAGAATGTTTTCATTAGTTTTGTTGTGGTTAATCGAATTCGATTTGGAACTATTTCAATTGCATTATAAATAATGAATATTTGCCTGTTGAAGTGAAACAGTATTGTTATTTTTCGAAACAAAGAATGGGTGCCATACTAAGTTCGTTCATCAATGTTCCTCTGCGAGTGATTCGCCGTCTGAGTATCTGGTATAATATTAGAAAATTGAAAGCAATCAAAGTCAAGAAAGCAAAACAACGACTAATACAACAATTGGAAGAAAAAGAAAAACTTGGATATGTTGTGCCACGCGATTTTGATCACGATCTGGATGATGGACAAAAAGGTCGATTCGACAGCTATCTTGATCTGCTGAAATACCTATTCCTCAGGCATCAATTGCGGTTTTTGTCGGCATTGATGAAAGAGAATACGAAAGAGAATGACATTGCCAAACGTCTTTGTTTGTTTTGGATGGGTGTTAGCTATACTTTGATCTATTTTTACGTTCAGGTATATGTGTTTGAAAAATTTCAGAGCTTGACATTGTTGTTAGTGATAGTGATGGGCATCGTTACCATAGTATTGCCTCAATTTTCTAGCAAAGCACAAGGGTTTGCATTGATTCTGATTCCTCGCAGTGTGATGATTCTATTGCGCGGTGCCATTCTCAGTACCATTGGCTTTCAAATCCATGTTGTCACTCGCCATAATATCGAAAAAAACTATAAAATATTAACCGCTTGCATTAAATGCAATATTCGCAAAACTGGACGCTTCAAAGCAAAAGCGTTCACCTACGGTTTTCGCAATTCGCAAGGAGAAAAAAGTTTCCGATTCACTTTCGACAATCCATTCAAAGCATTTCTCGATTGGATCAGATGGTACGCTCAATCCATTCAAAATTTACTCCAACGTAAGCATAATAATCACTAATCACTATTCACTAATCACTATTCACTAATCACTATTCACTAATCACTAATCACTAATCACTAATCACTAATCACATTTCCACAACTAGGCATGAAAGAATTTATTTTGAAACCAATTGAAAAGGTGGCCGAATGGTTGGTGTGGATACACAGCTATGTTCCAATATTTTCCATTCCCAAACTGTTTATCGATAACGTTGCCGGTAATATGTTGAATAGATAATATGATGACTGTTCACTCACCCATACACTTACTGACATAGTTCCCGTCAAGGATTTCGTAGTGAATCTGATGAAAAAAATTGGCAGAGAAATTGCCAGTTGGTTCACAGTGAGATTGCAATCAAATTATCACTACAATTGGCAAAGTTCCCAGCCAAACATAACCATTAAATCGGTCATATTCGATTCGTTGGGCGAAGTTTACGAGAAACACTCCTATTTGCAATATTTAATCAGTTTGGTGAATTACATGGTCCATTTCTATGTAATATCGGTGTTTGCATTGATATTCCTTCCGTAACTATCATTGTACACTTTGCATCGATCAATAGACTAATATTATCCGTTTGTTTCAATAGACCCCTCTATTATATGTATCAATTCAGACGTAGTCGAGAATTCGACAATTTCTACATAACCGACAAATTGATTGCCTATGATGAAGAAATGGTGGCCAAAGGCGGACTACAATCATTATTTCCTTTGGGTCTATTCGAACAATTCATGTATGTTCGACGCACCGATCCAATATTGACGATCGAAGAAATGAATGCTGCAGTCCAATCGTTCGGCGTCGATTTTGCTTTAATGTTTTATTGCCTCATGTTCATATTGTTCGATATAATGATGTATTCGGTGACTGCGCAAGTGGGCAAAATCTTATCATTAATCTACGATCTGTTATTGCCCGAACAATTTCCTTCCATTCTACAATTCATTAATAGAACCAAGGCATCGGGCAAAAATACTTTTCTCGATACCGAAACGTTTGTGCTAGAATATCGTAAATTTCGTCTCGATATTCGAAAATGTCTGCCCTCGCCATCGCAAATCGATTGGGAACCGTATCGGCGACTGGCGGTCTTTTTCTTTTTATTGTTGCTTTGGAAATATATGCGGCCATACATAAGTCGTAGCCGTGGAGCCATTTGTGCACACCTTTTTCCCAATACAAGCCATTCACGTGTTGTCTATCTCTACAATAAAATCTGGTTTCAACGAATGATAAAGGATGCGTAAGTAACATAGTAACATGCTGAGATATTGATAGATATTCATACTATTATCCCCACCAGCATGTATACCCTCATGAATATCGAAAGCAATCCAGCAGCTACTAGGCAATATTATGCTCGTCGAAAAGCAATGCAACAAATTGAACAAGAAAGACTCAATAAGGCCCACGGTGGTTTCCACTTCATGGATATGCTGTTGGCTGGTGCAAATGCTTCACCGTTGCTGAAATGTAGCCGATGTCATCAAGCTTACGAACGCGAAGAAATGCTGGCTTGTCCAAATGAGAGATGCTTGTTTATATTATGCGAGCAATGCTATCGAATTGTCGTCAACAAAAAAGATGTTTATTGCGAACTATGTGGCGAACATCTTGAAGAAATGGGCGATGAAGGTGTTGAAATCTCCCAAGTGGCAGATTCGAGCCTGGATGAAGAACTCGATTTCTAAATGCATGCCCAACACCTAACACCAGCACTCATTCTCTCTCTCTCTCTCTCTCTCTCTATTTATAATAAAGCAATGAGTAAATAACATTCTTTATTTGAGAATGATCGACAAACTAAATTTCATTCACCGGACGCCGCCACCAAATTCAAGTCACTAACAAAGTGGACGAATGGCTGACCACAAATCTCGAAAAACGGAATAATAGACTAGAACCAATATGATCAGCATGGCCAATGTATCACCCATTCCTTTCGTTTGGTTTACTTGGGCACCAAACCTCGACTTCTTGGAAAAGCGGTGTCCGGTCTTTGGTTTAAATTCAACTGCTGCTGCTGTTGTTGTTGTTGTTGTCGGGTAAATTGCTTACGTGTGCTGGCACGTTTGATATCGAAAAAACTGTTGATACTGTCAATATGATCAATCGATCCGCCATCGTTGTCGTGCCATTCATTTTCGTCATCAAAATAGTTATCCATCACAGTCAATGATCGCCGCATTCGAGGTGGTGTACGACCAACAGTTCTTTGGTTCCAATCATATCCAATGCTAGACCATTCGTTGGTCGATTCATGTCGATTCCGCAATGCAGTGGTGGTGGCCGTCTTTGCACGATTCTTGCTTTCGGTGCCGCCACTTTCCACCAAATCACTATAGTTGGATCGAAATGAAGCAACAAATGAAACATTATAATGTCATTAACACCTATGAGATAGACTTACAAAATTTCGATTTGTACATTATCATCGTCTTCGGCACTCTCATCATCATCATCGTCATCATGATGGATATAGTTGGATGTAGTCGATTCGGGCATGTACAGACCCAGTTCATCGATTGCGTTGCGCTTGAATGAAATGGAAAAATAAGAATCAAACATTTTTGCACAATTCTCGCCGTTTTGCTGATCCGGATAGATTGATGATGCCGTACAAGGTCGTGATTGTTCATCTTCGCTCATTATCATCGATTGATTGATTGATTCGCTTTTCAGATGCCATTCCTGATCATTATCGTCGTAGTAAACTTTGCGGAGAAATCTTGTCTTTTCATATTCCGGAATGAAATTATCAATCATCAGATATCGCAGCTTCAGATCCCGAATCAGATCGCTAGAGATGCGTTCCAATTCTCGTCGATCATCCGAATGCGATTCATGCAGATCGCGGATTTCCGAGTTGACTGACTATATAAACAACCAACCAAACTATTAATCAATCAAAACCAATTCAAACCCTTACTTGAAATTCTTTGACAACTTTGCGTAGCTTTTTGCGTTTCATTTCGACTTCCTGTTGCAGCGAACTGAATGTTTCGCGCACCTCTTGTGTCGCTTCTTCGTGTGCTTCCAATTGCCGCAACATTTGTCTTTCGCGTTGTCGTTGCTCACGTAGCTGGGCCATTCTTTGTTCCAATTGCCGTTGCTGTTCATTGGTATGGTCGACAATGTCTTTGCCGCCGACCAGCATCTTACTTTCCATAGCTTTGATTTTCGCTTGCAATTTTTGCACAGCCTCCACATCGATTTGCTCGGCCGCTGTTGTCGACGCGGTAAGCGAAGATGATGGTCGCGATTTCTGTTTACGTTTCTCCTCGAGTTGTGCACGCAGTCTATCGATTTCTGCCTGAAACTCTTTCAACAAGGTATCCTTGGGATTTTCATTGACACGTGGTTTGTTCTTGATGTTTTTGGCCCGATTGGCATATCGCAATGTAATCAATGTTTCCTCATAGTTATAGCCGGCCGGACCAATGTTGGCCATCATCACCGTACGAGCATTACCACCGAGGCTGTCCTGCAGAATTCGAGTCAATTTCGAATCTCGGTAAGGTATATGGGTGGATCGTCCGTCCACCAATGCCGAAATGACATTTCCCAATGCCGAAAGTGATAGATTGATTTTGATCGCTTCCTTTTGCCGTTGACCGACCGTTTTCGTTTTGATTTGTCGTTCACTGCCAGCCAAATCGACTAGATTCAATTTGCCCACTCGGACATGTTCGGTGGCCATCGAACTGTCTTTTTCGATATGTTCCACTGTTATCATGAATATTGCATGCGAACGAGAACTATGTTCGTTCATATTGGTCGCACCGACCGCTCGATTTTGCCGACCTTTGGCCAGAACGCGTTCAATCTCGGTCACATTTTTGCATACAAACGAGGACAAATCTTTTACATAAACACCGATATCAGAACGCTCACGCAGTTCGAGTCGTTTGTTGGTGTTTGTCGACAGTAAATCTCGAATTTCTTCCTGATAAATCTCTGCAATGATAACAAACCAAATTTTCAACCAAAAATCAAAACAACATGACCAACAAACCTAGATATGAGCTGCGGACCAGAAATTGTTTATGCGATGAACGACCGATATGCGAAAAGATATGGATAAAGGAACGTGGTATAACCCCCGGATCATGGGCCACTCCTTCCATCGTATATGTTTTGCCTGTTCCAGTTTGGCCATAGGCAAAGATAGTGCCATTGAAACCATTCAAAACTGATTCGACTAGTGGATGACAAACATCGGCATAGATTTCTTCTTGTTTCGAATCACAATCGTACACCGAATCAAATGTATAAATCTTGACATCATCATCATCATTATGGTTGTTGACTGTTGTTTGCTGTTGCCATGATGGGGGCGGCATCGGTACTCGATGCAATTGAATAGTACCGCGTTCACAATTCACATCCACCACTTTCAACTCTTTTTCCTCCTTCTCCTTGTCCGACATCGGTCGACATCGAACAACCACTTTTACACATTCCGATTTCGAACTCTGCAAAAAAACAATGCAATTGATCAATTCAAAAATGATTCATAACATCCATCAAAACATACGCTAGATTTCATTTGTTGTTGCATTATTGGTGGATGTGGTTGCACCAAAACAAACCGAAATTCTTTTTACTCATCATAATAATAGACTGGAACTGTTCCATTACAGCCTAAATATGCCAGGAGGGAATGTGCGCGCTGTTCCATGGGAACCAATCCAACCTTGTTTGGCTGGAACAAGATCCAACACACAACACACTCACAACAGACAACAAAACAACAACACACTCATAGCTATAGTTCGTAAAATCAATGCATGCATTCGCTCAATGCTCACACAGTGTGATCACAATGTTTTTGTTGCTGAATCGTTAGACATTCAGTTTAGTGAGCAATTCAATCGTAATGACATTATCCTTCATTCATTGAATATTGTGCAAGCAAAACAGCATCCAAACATTGGGAAATCATCACAAGTAAGTGTGGTCAACAACAATTTGATTGTCTGACTACCTTATCATATGCATCGGGCATTGTTTTGCCTGTTCAGCAGATAATCCCAGTTTCAGTTTCATTTCGGCATCCACTAATGTTGTTGATGTTTATATTGAATCTTCGAACCAGGCAGGCAGCATTTGCATCTCCGACTGACTGAATGAATGAATGAATGAATAGAGTTCAGCGACCGATACGGTCAACAACGATAAGACAAGCAAAATGCTGGAAATAGGTCATACTCCCATCATGTTTTTGGTTGTCTTTCATTGTTGTTGTTGCTGATGATAATGATATCGGCCACTGCCGGAAAATGTTACTTTTCATTGAAAATTGTTTAGTGGCAAAACTCGTTTTGATGTTGAATTTACAATTTGTATTGGTTTTGTTTGGCATCTTTCATCTTCACTGTTCCACTTGTATTCGTTTCCTGCATGCCATTGCACATTGAGCCAAATTGATGATGATGATAATCATTTTGGATATCGACATGGAACAAACAGCAAACAATGTTGCTTTGTTTATTCCATGTTCGAATCTTGTAAAGTTGATCAATAAACACTGATATTGTTTGGAGAATGTTGGATTCAGAACTCAACAATGTCGTTCACCTTGCTCTGTGAATTGTTTATCAAGGAAATTATGTTTCATTGCAGGGATGTTCGCTTCCAACACAATTGAGTAAAAATAGCCTGACGAAAAGCCAAATCAATAATTTCCACTTTCGAAACAATGTGATGCATTTGCCAATCGTTGTCACCTTAGCCATTTTGAATGTTTCAAAATTTAATTTCGTTTCGCATTTAAATCACATTATAGGGAACAATCATTTTTATCCTCAATCGAGGACCAATCATCGTCATGATTGATCATTCAATTGCCTTTCCCTTTCACAAAAACTTCATACCAATCATCATGATTGTGATGTGACCAATACCAACACACACACACACACACACCAATCATATTTGGCCAGTCCATTCAAACTCTTTGCTTTTTTCAATTTTCTCTCTTTCCAAATGGCCACAAGTTGTTTTATTCACTCACCATTCATAATCGCATGAACATGGCCATCGTTGAACATTGAGACTTTTCACATTCGAATCTGTTTGCCACAATGTTCATTTCGAAACGGATGCCTAAATCTCTGTAGTGTTGACGCATACAGACATACACACACACAGTAACGGTTCAACGTTCGATACCAGAGTGGAGATAACTAAAGCTGCAGTGATTCAAAGTGACTACACTATCGTTTTTTTTCAGTTTGTTTCAGTGTTGTCTGGTGAATCAGTGAACAAACATTGAACGGCAAAATGGCCACCTTGTCCATCGATGATAATCCCAATCATGTCATATTGTCCACGATTTCGGTTGATGACAAACAAGATGAATTCGAAGATGCCAGCGAAAACATCTCCAACAGTGATAGTGGTCATTCCAGCCAGATGACTTGTTCACCCGACATATCTGTATCGTCCCATTCCAGCGATGATGATTTGACTGCCAATGTTGTCGATGATGATGATCGACCATCATTGGAAGAATCTTTGGCCGATATTGATCGCCTGCTTCATCTGGCCTTGGACAATCGTTTCCACGAAGCCTATGAAGGAACAGAAAAATGGTCCCATTGTAGCCTCTATCATGCGTTGGGCAAAGCAACACTTTCCTTTCTCAAAGGATGTCTCACACTCGAGCGACCAGAAATTCAAACAGCGTTGGACAATCTCCGCAACTGTATGGACGTCTGTCAGCGGGAAAAGCGTTATTCGATGACCAAACTGGTCTGGAGACCCAATTACAACAGCTACACTGATGGTAAACACAACCAATTCAATCGAAATGACATTCATATTTTTGCTTCATTCACATCCTAGTTCAAATTCATGCCGAACTATGCTATGCCGAAGCATTATTGATGACTGCTTTGATGACTTTCCTCGAAGATCAAAATCTTTTGAATTTGGTTCGCGGTGCATTCCGTATCCGAGCCTGTTATCAATCATACAAGTAAATTCTATTGCTATCCAAGTAATTCCTATTCATTCATCTCACATTCATTATAATTCGCTCAACATAGGGAATGTTTCTACATCCTCAACAATCGAACCGAATGGGGCAGTGAATACTCCCGACTTCACTTTGAATCCGGTGTTCGATTAGGCATCGGAACATTCAATTTGATGATATCACATATGCCATCCAAAGTGCTCAAATTGCTCGAATTTGTTGGCTTTTCGGGCGATCGACAACAAGGTTTGCGAGAACTTAAAGCATCCACTTTGCTTCAGAATGGACTTCGTCGTCCGTTGGCCGTATTGATAATGTTGGCATATCAATGTTATGTCGAGCATATCTTCGGTAGGTTTCATTATTCGTGTCCCATTTACAACTCTATCAATCACTCAATCAATTTAGGTCTAGGCGATGGCGACATGCAATGCGTCGATACATGCCTTGATTATGGCCTTTCCCAACATCCGGATGTATGTGATCACACATCACATTTCATTTAATAATGCCTAACCATAACTTTGATTGCAGGGAGCCTTTTTTCTTTTATTTCTTGGTCGCAAAAAACAACTAACCGGACAGATTGAAAAAGCAATCGAAGCACTGACAAGATGCATATCCGTGCAAAATGAATGGAAACAATTTCACAATATTTGCCATTGGGAACTCCTCTGGTGCTATGCGTATGTGCTATAATGTTTATATAACTTATTATGTTTGATGTGTAAACGAGTTTCACTTCAACCAATACAGAGTTCAATGTGACTGGATTAATGCTTCCAAATGTGCCGACATTCTCAGACAACAATGCAAATGGTCACCCGGAGCCTATACATATCAATATGCTACATTTCTCTATATGATTATGGTCGAACAGAATAGGCCCGAGTTGCAAACAGAAATATCGCAACTGCTCAAGTAAGCTAACGTAACATTCCACGCACTTCTTTCATATTGTTTTTTCCGCCATTATAGACGAGTACCAGAACTACGGGTCAGGTTTGCGGGCAAAACAGTGCCAGCCGAGAAATTCGCCATTGTTCAATCGCAACGATATTTCGACCACGACCAACAATTGGTCCTGCCAGCCATCGTAAGTATCGTCGCTCGCTTTCTTTCGTTGTTTGATCTCTAACTTGTTAACATTTGCAAGGAGTACATGTACATCTGGAATATATTCGCCGTCATTGGTCAGACTCCTCATCTGTTGAATCCGATCATAGAGCGTGTGGAAAAGTATGAACAAATTGAACAACAAAAACTGTCTGAACCCGATCAACCACTAGATGATTATTGTCGATGTCTTTTGCTCAAAGGAATGTGTCTCAGACACCTTCAACAACATTCACAAGTAACAAATAATCTTTCTTTCATGGCCAATCATTCAACTAATCACTCTGTTTTTTCTCTCTTTAGTCGAACGAATGTTTTCTGAAAATAATAGAATGGTAAGTCATTGCAAGAATAATGCATCATATCCTTACATTGATTCAATTTTGCAGCAAGGATCGAATCGAATCGAGTACTTATCTCATACCGAAAGCTACACTCGAACTGGGACTCAACCATCTCAAATTAGGATTGCTGACCGAAGCTAGGCAATGGTTGGATCAGGCCAAAACATATTCCGGCTATACATTGGAGGCCATCGTTCATTTTCGCATCCATACCGCTATCCGAACTATCAACAGCAGGACCAAATCGCAAACACTCTCCGAACATGATGACGATTCAATCGATCAATCCAACGAAAAACCGCCCGAACCTGGTACTATTCGAACCATATGGAGCGAACTATCAAAACGCCTCACATTTTCCGACCAAACTATCGACGATACGTTTGTCGAATCACAGACCAAATTCTAGATTGTTATCCTTGTAATTGCTAAATAAGAAATGTGTTCGCTTTAAAATTGTCCCCTTAAGAATTGCATACAAAACTTATTAAATAAATAAAACTGCAACATTCACGAATGGAGTCTATTAATTCAATCGTCAATTCAAAATTGTGGCAAGCGCGCGTGCATGGATTGTTTGGGTGCGCCAATATCGGTCGAAATAGTCGAGAGAAAAACAACGATTTTTCCAAACAAAAGATTTTTTGAAAAGTTTTTATCCAATTTGTTGTGATCCATATCGCATAATCATCCATTCACAATTCATCATGAGTGGCGGCATATATGGTGGTGGTGAGTTCATTTGAATTGAAAACATCTTCTCGAATAGAAATTAATTTTGAATTTGAAAAGATGAAATGGGCGCATTGGTATTCGATGTTGGTCATCATTCATTTCGCGCCGGTTTCGCCGGTGAAGATTGTCCAAAAACCGATGTTCCATCATTAATCGGTTACATTGATGATCCATCCGAGTCCAATAATAAAATGGATATCGATTCTCAGTATGATGCCAATGCTAATAACATCAATTCATCACAACGTCGATACATTTTCGATACTCCGGGTATTAAAAGTCCCAGATCTCATATGGAATTGACAACGTTCTTAAAGGATGGAATGAGTAAGTTATCATGACTAATCTATCGAATTGAAAATTGAATGTCGTTTTGATAGTTGACAATTGGGATCTATTCGAAAAAATGTTGGATCATATCTACCAAAAACACTTGAATCTCGATGCATCTTTGCATCCTGTATTATTTTCCGAGGCATCGTGGAATGCTCGTAGTAAACGTGAAAAATTGTGCGAATTAATGTTTGAAAAATACAATATACCCGCATTTTTCCTGGTTAAAAATGCCGTGTTAGCAGCATTTGCCAATGGACGAGCAACCGGTGTTGTACTTGATTCTGGACAAAATCAAACATCGGCCGTTCCTGTGCATGATGGCTACGTTATTCAACAGGCCATCATACAATCACCCTTGGCTGGAGATTTCGTCACCAACCAATGTCAACAATATTTTAATGACAAAAACATTGAAATCGTTCCCTATTGCATGATTGCATCCAAAGAAATTGTTAAGGAAGGCGAACCAGCACGTTGGACAAAACGAGCAAACATTGCCGATAATTTGACAAAATCCTGGCGTAACTATATGATCAAAGAAACGATTCATGATTTCAAAGCATCAGCATTACAAGTGGCTGATTCGGCTTACACGAAAGATGTTGCCGAGACAATGCCCTCCATACATTATGAATTTCCGAATGGCTACAATATGGATTTGACGGCGGATCGTTTTTTGATTCCCGAAGCATTGTTCGATACAACGCAGATCAAAGGCATCACATCCACGGTGATGGGAATGTCACAGATTGTCACTGCAAGTATCGGATTATGTGATCTTGAAGTACGTTCATCTTTACATGGTTCAGTCATTGTTACTGGCGGTAATACTTTGATCAGTGGTTTTACTGATCGATTAAATCGGGATCTAACGACTAAAACTCCTGCGGTAACTATATTATCATATCCAATGCACTCCCCTTTCTAATCTGAATTTGAATCTGTTTTCAGAGTATGCGATATAAATTGATTATTCCAAGTTCAACATCTGAACGTCGTTATGCTTCTTGGATTGGTGGATCGATATTGGCTTCGCTGGTATTTCTTTGATAACCATATTTTCGCTCTGATTTTTTCTGATTTGCTTTCTTTTCAGAATTCATTCCAACAAATGTGGGTTTCCAAACAAGAATACGAAGAAGAAGGAAAAGGACAAGTCGAGCGTAAATGTCCCTGAATGTGGAAATTGACTCCAAAAACCTATGAAGAATTTTACAAACGCAACATATTCATATTTGACCATCATTTATTTGTCGTACAAAATTTATCCATTTCAATAATTATTGAATCTAACAATTATTTCATTGATCAAATAAATTTTTCATTAATAAACCCATTTATGATTTATTTTATGGATGAAAATGTCCAGTGTCATCATTGATGATTCAATAGGCAATAATGCCAAAAACTGAATTGCATAAATGAAAAATTGCGAATAGGTAGAAAAGTGTCAAACCTTTTTTATAGCATGTGGTCATTGAAAGTAGTTTAGCGAAACAAAAACATAGGTCAAACTAAAATTGAAATAATCAATTCATCATTGAATATGAATGTATAATGAATGTTTGAATAATCATTATATATCCAATGCTCCAAAACACTATGTTTTCATTAGATAAGTTAGTATAACAGATTCAATTTTATAAGGTCCAGTGAGTGATTCATTTTTGATATGAAACACAAATATCGTATGGTGATAATCTGAATATCACGAGATGATCAAAATGTTAATGGTAGCATTATATGCAAATCTAATTCATTATTCAATGGTCAAGGATTATCACTAAACAAAAGATTGCCAAACATAATCATAGACAATTGCCACTAATTCAATTTCGGTTCTTTCGTTGAGGTATTGGCCTATTTCGATTCTCTCGCAATTCTCTGTTGCGATTGTGGAAACGGCATCATCCTGACCAACAAGCCATTGTTTCGCTCTCTCATTTTATGTTATGTTACCGTTTTTTTGGGTACCATCTCCAGATAGGACCAATGTATAGAACCGACCAATAGGTTAATAATGATATGGATGAATGAAAAGTAGGATATAAGTTGTTGTTGGTTGAACAATTCGAAACAGAACAGAAAAGAACGGTTCAATAGACAATACGATTCATGTTTAGCACATTAGAAAAACATCAAATAATTTTTCTTCCACCATTCAGATTATCCAAATCATATGCAACCAGTCTTTGCAAGAATTCAAAATGACTAGCCTAGAAAATTTATTCAAATATAAATTAAAATAACGAAACACTTACATTGAGATTATTAGATCATTGTTATCTGTTGATAACAATTGAATGATTATCATGAGAATAATTGAGGATATGAATCTAATTAGTTGCAATCAAAACTTGCCGATTTTGTTTTGTTGATCAACATCATGGTTATTCTTGATGTATGTCAATTTTGTTGTTATTTCTCTGCATATATCTTTTCTGGGCATCAAAAAAGTAGAAAAATGACTTTACTGTAGTTTTATCATCATCATGATGAAGGTTTTTTGTTAGTTTTTCGTCGAATTAACAAACAAAAAAGGAAAATATTTTAAATTCAAATTTTCTAATATTATTTCCGCATGTCAAACAAATTGTTCACTCGATCGCTGCTAACATCCTCTGTAATTATTGATTTTCAATGCAATCAATAAATGCTAATTTTATACAACATATCTAATCATTCATCTTACCCTATGATGTCGACAAAGTTAATTAATTTCATTAGGGGATAACTGTTGCATTTTGGAGAAAATGACCGAACAATCAATGTCAATAGGAAAACAAAACAAACAAAAATTCAATTCAGCCAAATGTCAAATCAATCAAATACAGCCAAAGGCAGGGAGGGTCATACATATTAATGTTATCGAAAGAGTCGAAAACATTCTCATCGAACATTTGATTGGAGAAAAGATTCAACTTTTTTGAAATATCCATTATTTTTTCAAAAATAAAATTCAAATCAAACACAATGATGAATTGAATGATTAATCAATGTGTGTCTGTTGAAAATGGGTGCTCTTGTCTTTCTGTCCATTGCATTCGAATTCAGATGCAAAACAAATCCTGATGTGCATTTGGCAGAACAAACTAACCGACCGGTCCAGTTATTATTGATTGTATTCAATAATTATCATCTTGTCCTTGCTCTCTCTCTCTCTCTCTCTTGCTGTGTCCATCTGTGGTTGGATTCTCTTTCAGAGCAACAAGTTGAACTTCCTCTTTGCAATTAGAATTGAGCATTTTTTTGGTTTTGCTGAAGTGGAAAGAAAAAATCATTTAATTTCTTTCGGGTAAAGATATGATCTGAATATGCAACTAAAATAGTGGTGGTTGGTTGGTCGATAAATTAACTTTCTGTCATTATCCACAACATGATTTGATGATCTTAGCGACCTCTATCAAAATTTTTTTGTTTAAAATGATGTTCAAAAGATAGGCTGACAGAGATGTCATAATTTAGCAAGAAAAATGAAGCAAATTGTCACACAACTTTCTTTCCATCATTCCAACAACAACACCTACAAAATGACCCTTTTGTCCTTTTTTCTTGGAATGAAATGCGTGAAAATTCAGTGATTTATAACATTGATTGATAGAACATTGTCTTTGAAAAACATTCAATTAACATGTTTCACCACAGTCATATGAATATCAACCATCAAATTACAATCATAATAATGATGCTATTCACCCATATTATAATAGTAATCTTTCTGAAAAAGACAAAACAATAACAGATTTTTGAAATACAAGATGATCCTTTCAACATAAACATATAAAGTGATGAATCAATGAAATGCTAATGATGATGATGGATGAATGATGATTACATTTTTGCTGTTTCATAATCATTCATGTTTCAAACACAACCAAAGATGACTATGATTGAATAGATTATATTCATGTTATCCATACACAATCTGAATATCCACATCATTCAGCAAAAAACCTTTTTCCATCCATAGAATTGGTTGAATAGGTTTCGATCAAGGAGAAAATCCAAAATTGATAATTTTTAATTAAAATAATTTAATTAAAAACAACATCAGCAAAACGAAAAGGAACAAAATTGCCAATTTTAGAATGGATGACTGAAGAAACAAATCATAGCCTACGCGACATTTTTCCAACAGATCAATTCATCAATGACATTGATGATGATGATATCATAGGAAATATTTTCCTGAATCAATGCTAAACAGGTAAACAAACCGAAAAATCGTGTTTGACCGTTAGTTCAAAGGTCGAATCGAATGTTCATGTATTTTGTTTTTCCTCGGAAATTCAACTTGTTTATCGAAATAAGGATTTCTTTTTGCAAATCTCTCTACTCCCGTTGTGGATTACACAAAATGATTAGCGTCTGTAAGGCTGGTGTGTGAGGTAGCTAGCAATGGTGTTAATTATAGAATTAATCATGATCAAATCCACAGTCATGGTTAACAGCTTTTTTTATTGAAATTTTCTTCGGAAAAAAATATTCAAAGCCAAAAAGGTTCAAGTTCAAAGTTTAAAACACAGCAAATTAAATCATGCTTTTTTCCAACGAATCCAACTAATAATTCATGCAAGAAAGTTGAAGATTTCTACAAAAAACCATTTCACCTTCATCAATTTTTCATTTTTGCAAATTAGAAAAACAAAAACGATGCATCACCCAATGAATATTAATTTAGAGAAATTGATGAGATTCACTCCAAACAATGGATGCTGTCTTTATTTAGATGGTTTATTATTAGTACTATCATCATCATTAGTATCATCCACACACAACATTTAATTTGATTTCCAAATCTGAACAACAACAAAACGCAGTGGATATTTAGATTTTTTTGTTTTGAAAAATTCAAAATCATAATCACAATGATGATGATTAATTTGAAAATATCAAATTCAGTAGGCAATGTGATAAATGAATCCAAAAACATCTTACGAAAAAACAAAAAACATATTTTGTCAATGTGTTTTGGGCACCACCATCATCATCTCTATTTTCAGTGTCAAATAATTTTGGCTTGAAAAATTCATTAAACTTTCAATTGAAAATCTCCCAAAACAAAAAATTACAATGTTTCATTGAAATGTATGTAGAAAATACTAATTTAGTCATCATTCCCAAAACAATGTTTTTTAAACTTTCAACAAACAAATTGGGTGTATGTAAAGTGTGTTTCTTTCTTTCGATTCAGTTTTTTACTGATGATAAGCAACACAGAAAAATATTTGTCATTTTGTGCGTTGCCACACTTTCCATTTTTGGAACATGAGGATCATCAATTTTGGTTGTTGTTTCGTTACGAATCATCTTTTTTCATATTTGAAAAAGTCAATGAAAACTCATCGATGAATTCGTTGACATTTCAAGTTTTTTCACTTGATACTATTTAAGATGATAATTTTGTCATTCAAATCAAACAAATGAAATTTTTTCCTTTCCGGAGCTGAGGGCGTCATAATATTCACACTCGAAAAAAGTGAAATTTAATCAAAAAAATCTTGCTAATTTCACACGTTCTGAATATTTTTTCAATCAATAAATTTATTGATTTCCGTTTAGAGAAACTGAAATTGATGTCAACTTTCATCATTTTGCGAGGTTATTGGTTATTATGATTTTTCATTTTTGATTTTCTCATCGAAACAAACATGTTTGGCGAAAAAGGAGTTTTTCCCTCATTCAAATAACCTGATTGATTTGGAGAAAATTTTGTTGTCAAAATAAGTTTTTGATCTTATCGAAACACATCTCATAGTAGTTTTCTGATCAACCGATAAGTTCAAAATCAAATAAACAAAGAATTCAATTTTTTGTTTCAACAACAGTCACAAATTGAAATCCAAATGAATAATGCTATATATGCAAACGAAAAAGATTTATCAATCTGTGTTTGTTTGCAAAAAAATGAAATGAAAAAAGGGCTATAAATTTGAAGAAAAAGTAAAATAGACAGGTGATAACAACTGTTCACTGAACAACAAGTGATTGAAAATTTAAAGAAATGAAAAAAAAACGAAAAACGATTAATAAATTTTCAATGCATCCATTCAATCAATCAATCAGATAATGCACATTGTGTGCGTGTCGTTTTTGGACTAAATTTTTATTAACAAAAACAAAATCCGCGTGTTGGAATTTTTTTCACAAATTTTCATTTTGGATTTTAAATTGAAATCCAAAAAAACAAAATTGATATTTATCAGTGACAGATCTTTTTCTACCGATTGGAATCTTGATTTGATTGAAAAAATCTTCCGGGAAATGTCACAAGAAATGGTGATGATGATATATGTCGATAATAATGATCATGAAGAATTCAACAAAATTCAATTCATCTAAATCTG